TGCTCGATTGGGAGCGCCGATGCTGAGGTTCGATTCCCCCCAGGAGTGAACCTGTATAAAAATCCGGGTGATGCTGACGACTTACCTGCACTTCTATCGCCAAGGAACTCCCTGGCATATTGTGACAGGCCAGTGGAGCGAGTTTAACCAGTAATGGTGAGCTTTCTTTAAAAAAAGATTTCCCATCGTTTAAAAAAACATGAATAAACGAAATAAGAAGTTTTTCTCTGCTGAAAATCCTCTAGCTTCAGTTATGAAATTTCAAAATATTGCTTTCTTTCAACGTTTTTGACTCGACTCGCTTCTCCATTTGCTACTGTACTCCACAATAACTTCTATTAGAGATTTACGGGGACATAAAAGTACATATGGATGAATTCTCCCGTTCGCCTAACTATACTGCTGCTGACAGATGTAGAAAGATGAACAGAAACTTATTAATCAACATCAATATTAATATGACATGTATAATCTCGAATACGTGGAAGTCGTTTTTAAAAAATAATATTATGTTTGAATATTATTTGAATAAGCGACGAAATGAAGACGAAATACTTAAAGAAATTTATGTAGCAGCAATTATTTTATGTATGAATAAATCGCAAAAAAATATATGATAAATATATTGCTATTAATTCATATGAAAAACACGCCAAGAAAATTTATAAAATGTGGCCAAAATTCATGAAATTTTAATTTTTCGCTATTTATTATTATTCATCGGCTTTCACCTTGCAACACTCGATGTTTTTGATGAGGCTAACTATGAGAGTTGTTGGAATAAGATTGGTGTATGTTAGAATGTAGAATGTTTTACTAGCGAGTTTTTTAGCTTGAAGTACAGGTAGACCCAGATCTTTTAAGGAGACTCTTGTCAGAGGCTGTGATCGAATCATGATTCTTGAGATAAGCCAGAGGTAACTAAACTTCATATCAGTAAGAGCCATATGCTTCATAGAGATTCGGGAATAAATTCATATGGTATTCCAGAAACTGAGATTAATCAGCAAGCAGCTTTCTTTGAATGAAGATACTCTTTAATTTTGACACATTCATTCAACATTGCAATATTCATTCGGGAAAGTAGATTTGCAGTGTTTGATTCCCTTGCATTTCTTCCACCTCTAGCTGCTTTGTCCGAAAGCATTATCTTAGAAAATCACCTTGGATAACGCCAATTACAAATGGATTGAAAAAGAAATGTTGTTTCAGATCTTCAAATCTATTTTAAAAATTTGGTAGCAATCTGCTTTTTTGATATTTATTAAATTTTATATTTATTAACTTCTTTAAGATCAAAAGAAATTGTTTTCAAACGAGGAAAATTTTTTGAAGATTTTATCTTTAGGAAAAGCTGAAATTTTTTCTGGAAAATAGTTTTAAAAAGACCATTTTCTCTTACAATCGAGATTTTGCAAGTACAGCATTTTATCAGCCTGGAACACTAAATTTTGTAACCATTCGTCACGCTTTAATTCTCGATCGTCGACAAATCGATTTAAAACATTATAATTGTATAGCCACACAATAGAAATTTATCTCATTTGTGTTGTGTTGTGACGATGTTTTATATCGTCCAAATCTTCAAGAAATTTTTTGATTTGGTTTATTGTTAAATTCAAGCCACAAAAGAATTAAAAAATGGAGTCAATGGAGTCCCAACACAAAATGCAAATATTTTTTTGCTAATTTATCACGTTACAGACCAAAACTTATTTTATTAAATTTTGAATGATTATATTGAACTTGTTGCAAACCAGCAGCATGTTTGGTTATGTACATCCGACCGCATTGACCGCACTGGCACACCGACAACTTCAATATAAGGAAAAATCTTCCGAAAATATGATTTAAAACCATCTGATAATCACCAATAACTAATATTGAAGAGAGATAAGTAGGGAAAGAAATATAGAATTTCGAGGAAAAAAAATCAAATTTGATGACAAACTGCATAATGAAAACGAGTTCAAAAACACTCAACAAACTGACGAGAAAATAATCTGAATATGAAGAATATAAAAATGAAAAAAAGTATTAAAATTAGAATACAAGAAAATGAAAATCGTTCATAATGTTAAGGCCATTTTTCATCTGATCAGATCGCTGCTGATTTTTTGAACATTCCAATCTTTAAAATTTAAAATTTGCTTTGAAATGCTTTCAAATTAATTCCTCAAAATTTAAAAATTTATATTCGTTATTCGCTTATTCGCTTGGAATATCATCGTTTTCCTTCCGCTTTCCTTTTGCTATTCCGATCAGTTGAATAGAGAGAGGTGAACAGGTCGAAAGTAAGATCATATAAAAGCCTCCATTTGAATGACACAAATATGAATAAAAAGTTGCCGATAAAAAGGACAAAGAAGTAATTAATTAAAATACTTCCACAATTTAGTCACTTTCTTTAGTACAGAGATTGATTTTTTTTGGTTCAGCATAATCAGAGCAGACTCTAAGAGAAATGGCGCCCCTAATCTTGAATTCCCTTACTATGTCATGCAGACGTTAACATGAACATTGCCTATACAAAATTAGAAGTTTTAATAAAAGTGCTTGTGGCCAATGTCCCAATGCAGCGGCATCAAGTATTAGCGACATCTGCTTAACGTAATGAGTGGGCTCTAGGCATAACAATCATCAGTCTTAAGTTAGATGCTGATTCGAAAAGAAGGATGATCAAACAAAAAACTAAGCCCAATTCAACTGGAAAAAGGTAGAAAAAAATTTGCCATTTGCCCGCAGGAAGCTCTTGGCAAATGTCAGTGATTATACCATTTTTACTAACTGATAGTACAACTATTTCTGTTTAATATTTTTCAAAATATAATAATTATGTTATACCAATATTTGTTTTAATTACGCTAATATTAATATTCGGCTCGATTTCACTGTTTAATTTTTTTAAATTACTGGGCAATATTAGTGCTAATGCCAGAAAAATTACTACTTAGATCCATTCATTTATTAAAGATAAAACAAGAACAACATAGTGGGGCCCTTGTCTCAGCTAATATATTTTTAACGAAAAAATTTTCGGATAGGATATTGGCCTTATAAACAGACTTGTGCAACTTCAAGCCATTACCATCGATAGCATTAAAATTCGAGTTATTACAATTGAAATCGATATGACTGCATAAAATCTTCGCAAATCAGATCTTATTTCTTTTAACTCATAGTGAATCAAGATTACATAATTTTTATTCATAAACAGAAGTAAAGCTAGGATTAAGCTTCACAGGAAGTACTCTTGATTAACCTATACGATTTTTTAAATCTAGAAAAGGAGTACACATGTTCTCGTCAAAAAAATTGGATAAGCTCAAGTGCCGCCTCTCCCAAGTCGAGCCACCATACGAGGGTAAGCCGCCACCAAAAGTGAAATTCAAGTTGTGATGCTGGGCGATCCATCTATTCATAAAACTAAGAAAAGATATGACAGATTTCTTTCATAATTTAATAAGTAATAATAATTTTATAATAAAATCAAGAAAAAATATTTTAGGAGAAAACCATGATTAAAATATGAATAAATTGAAAAGTCAACTTAAGTGTTCCATAACACGAAATAATTTCGCAGAAAAAATCGAGCAGCGAAATTTTTAAGCACTTCATCGAATAATAATTCCATAACATTTTTTTAAATTAAAATTCATTGATTGAATGTTTTTATCAGTTAGATTAATAATAAATGCCAACCTTCTTCCATGCCTAACAATTCAATGAACACCAATTAAATTCAGTACCAATAAAAATTTATAAAATATGGCATTTATTATTATTATTATCAAGTAATCAAACAAGATGAATTTCTGGATTTTCGTAAATTTATTCAAAATGCCTTTTTTGAGATCCATTAACCAATCTAGTCCATATTTAAAACGACTAACAATAAAAATTTTAAAACCAGATTTGATTTGATTTTCATCATCCAAAAACACATTCACCTGTATTTCTGTGCCTAAGACTCTTACTTATGGCCAGAAATGAACTAACCACTTAATTACTTAAATGCAGTGAAATATGGAAAATTATTACAGTCCAAGAAAATCCAAGTTAAAAAAGAATGATAAGGTGCAAATGCATGAAAAAATATGATTTTTCAGTAATAAATGTAATGATTATCTATTCAAAAAACTTGGACTTTTAAGGCAAAAATTGAAGCAATATTAAAAAAAAATTTCTTAATCATTTAGCCTTTGAAATAGTTAAATTCATATAATAATCAGTAAAAAAATTTAAACCATCTTTTACAAAAAAAAGTTATTAATATTAAAGGGCTGATTATCAGTAATGGATTAAAATTACTGAAGTCTACTTATTTATAGAACTTGAGAACTTTTCATCATTCATCAAATAATGGAAAAAAAAAAATCGAATAATATGTTCTAATCTATCAGCTATGACTGACCTGAAAGAAAATTTTCCAAAATTTTTCTATAAAAATGATTTAATAGCTTTGATAATGTTTGTAAAGTTTTAATCCATTTATTTGCTATCAAACTAAATTATATTTCTACTTTCCTCTTCAAATTTAAGAGTTTCAGGATTATATGAGAATGGAAAGACCAAAGGAACAATCCATAATATTCCATAATAATCCATAATAAAGAAATTTGTAAGGCGAAGAAAAATAAGGACGAAAAAGCTGTGATATAAAAGTTTTCTACCCTATTAAATTTTATTATCGTAACACTGGTACATGTTTATTTCTTGTTTCTGATACATCAGTATCTAATTAATTCAATATTTAAAATAATAAAATAAAATAATATTTATTATTATGGAAATAAAAAATTCAATAAAATGTTCTATAAAAGAAATAATAAATGTTCTATAAATAATTAAATAAAAGAAATTAGAAGCTATGCTTTTTCACTGAGTTATTGAACAGTTATTTAAAAGAAAAGGTTGTTTTCTTGTAATAAATCTGTTTTATAAACAGCAACCCAAAAAGAAAACTTAAAAGTATCACAATTAACAATTGCTTCGACAATTCAATAACAAACCTGGACGACCGTATCTTCATTTTGACCTGTTAAGCTTAAACGATGCCCAGGATTTTGACCAAATCGCAAGAGACGATTTCTAATTGCTGTGGAAAAATGCTCCTCCAGATATTGAGAAACGAACTATAAATTTCTTATCTTAGAAAGTATCGAAAAAACGAGGAAGTAGAAGGATATTTAAGAATAAGATCACTTAATATGCTCTAGCAAATCATTTTTAAGAAAGAACCTAATAGTGAGAGAAGATAAGTCCAAGTTAAACCAGTTATTTTATTATCACTTCCAATAACCCTTCCATAAAAAATATTGACTTTTATAAATTTAAAAATTAACGGTTTCAAGTAGCTAATAGCCAACAGCCAATGAAAAGCCAATACATTGCCACAGAAATAAAAGTCTATTTTGCAGCCAAATTAGCACAAAAGCAGAGTTATCATATCATTTTGGTTTTTATTCTATTCTATTTCACAATTTCTAGCTTGGTTAGCCCCATCCGGATAAGGTCCAAAAGTTATTTAGTACAGATGGGTTTTAGTAATCCCCAGATGTTTGAATATGGTTCAAGCAATGCATTAAAATTTGCTTTTAATATCATTTCAGGAATCGAGCTCACAATGCTTGAACATGGTCCGAGCAATACCACTCGATTAATTTGTAATAATTCTTAATTATGAATTATGAAAAATACACAATAAATAGCAAAAATAGAAAAATAGAATAAAAATTTCAAAGTAAAAATATATTCGGACGATGCCACAGTCACATAAATTCGAGAATGGATCAAAGGATGAGAAGGAAAGAGAAAGAAAAGATTTTTTTTGGAAAAATAGACAAGTATGAATTTCACCATCCTAAACCATTCATAAATATGAAATAAAAACTAACGGGCCCTCCATGACCATCGAAAATACTAAAAATGCACAAATTATGATGAGGATCATTCATATAATGCATACGATCTTCCATATACGGCCGCTGGCCACGATTTGCGAAAAACGAAAAGTTTTGGTGCTTCCAACTCCAGGTACCTTCTGCTGAAATTGGAAAAGAATCTTTATTCAGTTAAATGGGTAATTATAATTTAAGTCGCCAAAAAACGGTTTTTAAACGGTTTTTATTGGGACAGTGCAAATGTTAAACCACCTAGTACATTTGATTCTGCTGATTTGATTCATAACTGGCTTATTCAGATTATTTCAGGCTCATTCTTTCTCCAATTTCTAGACCATTTGCAAACAAACGGTTATTACTATTACTACTTGCTTATTATTCTTACTTATCAACATCAATGTCGCGAAATATCACGAAATTTTTACGAATTAGTTGACGTATGCCATCAATTAATTTCTATACAAAAATTTTAAGATTGTACTTTTTCTTAAATTGTAGTATATCTCATATATCTCTGTTTAAAACATTTATTTTTTAATAGGTCCGTTGTAAATTATAAAAAATTTTATGATTTGATCTTACAAAGTGCTTCATTATAAGTTCTCTTGGGAATCAAGTGGTCGGCCCCTAAATATTTAAATTTTTGACTAAATTTTTTGTTTTTTTTATTATTTTTTTGCTAATTTTTGTACTCTAATTGCCTTCCTTTTTTTGTAGACTTTAACCCATCATCTATTTACTTCTTATTTCGTCATTTCGTTGTTTTTTATTAAAATATGGTTTAATTAGCCAAGGTTAAGATTAATGAAATTCGTTTAGAATTCGTACTGGCATTTAGAGAATCCTATTTCCCTAAGGTTGAACTATTGTGGTAGCATTATTTTTGACAGTCATTGTAAGCAAGCCGTCACAGCCGTCGAGCAATCAATTCAATATATCGTCATCTTATATTTTTTACAGCCCATTCTTTTCAAATTGTTTAATAGTAGAACGAATGGCAATAACTTACGGAATATAGGAATATCGCTAAATCCTAAATCAATGAATTTTGGTGCTTTGAATTTGAAACGATTTTTCAAAGCTTTATGCTGCAGTTTCTGGCCTTGAATTGTTGGCCGATATCGAGCAATTAACCATTTGGTATAAAATAAAAGGGATGCAATTGTTACTGAAAATTAATTGTTTACTTTCAAATTTATCCAACAATTTATCCATCATTACTTACTTGTATTCGCATAAAACTCCATCCAATTTATGAATTTTGAAGACCTTATCAATACTTTTTTATCGTGGTGTATTATTTTTTTCCTACTTTGAATTCTCAAAAATTTTTTTTAACTTTAACCCGCACTCATTAAGACGATTTGAAAAATATAAAGTAAAACGGTAAGTAAAAACAAAAAATAAATAGCCTTATAGTGATAAATATTTAAAATCGTTATTACAAATTTTAGAAAAAATTTTGAATAACGATAAAAAATTTGATTTTTTAATTGTTAATTTTATCATTTTTTAATCCTCTGCCATATGGCAGTTTTGACAGAGCATTTAGCATTAGACAAAATAGCAAATCCCTTTTGAAAGAAAACTTTGGATATTTTTCACTCCAACTATTATGTAGCAAAACATCTCACAACATATGACACCTTTAGACAGGGACTAGAAATATACAATGGACTTACTGAAAACAAATAATGCCTCGGTGCTGATAATTAATGAACGCACTAATTTATAACGAACGGTAGCTGTCGCTATTAAGAAACCAAAAATTCTCGTTGCTATTTTAGCCATTGCATAATAATTAATTAATTTATCGACAGAACTAAAATAAATATATTTTCAATATTTTCATGAAGTTTTAAAGATTAGGCTTTAAACAATTTATTGATGTGTCAAAGCCTGCATCGCATTTATATGTGTGAAACAAACACAGTCAACAAATGCAAAAAGCAATAAGGGAAATAATGCTCAAGGCTAATGTTACTGCGGTATAGGTAAAGCGAATCTTGCTTATATTTACATGGCTCTCGGAAAGCCTAATTCTAAAATTCTGTGATTAAAATTCCAAAATTTTAAAATTTTGTGGAATTAATTAAGCAAAAAGAGTAAGTGATAAACGCTCACCATTTCTGAATAGCCTAGCGCTCATGGCTACTGGTAAAGTTAGAAATTTTGCCGGTAAGTCACTTGAATTATAGACTCCAGTACATAGCTTTTCAAAGGCAACAATGAAGCTTCACCTCTCAAAACGATAATCAAACCATAATCTAACGATAACCACTCGACCACCCAGCCCTCTGGATGAAATTAATTTGACTGAAAGAAATTTTTTGAAGACTTTTTTTTGCTCATTTTCCAAGAGATTATTTTTTAAAGCGAAAAATTTTATAATTCTCTTTACTTCAGACAAGTTAAATAAATTTCAGACACAAATTTGTCACAATTTCCTAAATAATAAACCTTTTAAAAATTTTTCAAATAAGTACGAAAAATAATAATAATTTACGATATTTAAATCATTGTTCCTATAGGCTTAGTAATTAGACTGAAAGCTGAAACTGAGATCGCAAAAAAAAAATAGAAATAGAAATGCAATACGTCATAGGACCGCATGATGTTTTTGCAAAAATAATAAATTATACTGCGGGCCAAACATCATTAGGCCAAGCGCAATATATGATTATTGAACAGTTGTTAGCAATTAAACTGATATTACTAGTAGAAAGGTCCTACAGCAAAAGCGTAATGGTCTTCAAATCCTGTTATACCTCTAGATATTTTCTTACATTCGTTTGGTCTTGTATATTTTCACACTTCATAAATCGCAAATATTATCCCTTAATAATTCTCGGCCCTTTCTTTAATACCCGTTAGTCATTCCAGCTTCATGTCATGTCACCTTTAGCAATGTTATAATTTGTTACTGGAATTATGGCAAGATTGTATCTTATAGGTGTTAAGGAAAATAATGGAATTGGATGGAATACTGATTTAAGTTGATTTAATTCCCTGACGCCGATAGGATTAAAAAATTCTGCTGGCGACCCATCTACTGGCAAAGTACTTCCATCACCAAGTGAGGCCCTGGCAAAATTTTTTAATGAAAGGTAATAATAGAAGCTAAGATATGGTGAGCACTGATTATTTGGAAGGTACTGTTTTACCAAAGAAGAATTATAGAAAAGAATATAAGGAATTCACAGGAAATATCCGAAGAGATAAAATAAAATAACATAAAATGGCAGAAAAAGTTCAGCAATTGGCAGTCTGTGGTCATGATTTTTCCAGAAACAAAGATAATTTATTATAAAAGTTAAAGAAATAATAAAATACAAATGCACATAATAAAGAAACGAAAAAATTCAATTTAAAATTTAAAAAACTGAATTTAACCCTTCTTTTTCTTCTAAGAACTTTCATCATTATTGGTTAGGTTGGCTCTGCTGGCTAGATATAAAGGTAAAACATAAGTTGCTCGGTCCGATGCCATCGCTAGTAGTAATAGAAGCCATTCCTTTTCCATCGTGTCCATATATCGCTGGTCCCTATACGTTCGAAATCTTTCTTGACTGCATTAACCCAGGTCTTCACTATCCATTCTCGCTCTTGACGCCAATAATCACAGGCAAATAGTAAAATATGCGTCAACTTCTGTGAAGTTCGACGGAGAATGTGCCCTAACCAACAAAGGCTACGCTCTGTGATAACATTATTAATACAGATGATATTTGGACAAAGATGGATACAATTATGTGCGATTTTATACGCTTAACGGATCCGTAAAATGTATCTTAGACATAGGTGGTCAAAACTTGCTAGCTTCTTAATATCTTCCACTTTCATTGGCCATATTTTGTAGCCATATAGCAAGATCGAGCGAATTGCAACTAAATGGACGCGGGTTTTTTTTCTATGGTGATTTCGCGACAGTTCCATAGAGATTTCATCAACCAGAAAACACATTTCTAGCTATTATTATCCGGATTAAAATTTCATTCTTTGCCTGGCCATTCTGGATTAATGGATCCAAGACAAATTGATGAAAATAGGTATTATCAGCATCTTGTGTAAGATGAAAATATTTCTGTTTTATTTACATTAAGTCTGAGTCCAATTCTCGCTGCAATTGTTTGGATTTCCTTATAACTATCAGCAAAAAGGACTACATCACCAGTTTATATCCAAGATCTATGATATGATGCTCTGGACTGATTTGGACATCTTTTGAGAGCCGACAAGCGGCGTCCATTATCGCATAATTGAATACTATGGGAAAGGACCCTGACAGATACCAGTTCTTATTTCGAAGGAGTCTACCAGCTTCCCATATACAGACCTGTGCTTCCCTGGTTTTAGACCAGGTCGCTCTTAAAATGTCTTTATGAGTCGAATGATCATCTCTGGAACACAGACGAGTTCCATCACCCTCCAAAGCGCCGATTTATCCGTTGAATTAAACGCAGCCGCAAAGTCGATGAAACACGTGACAGTGGGTTGTAAATATGAAGCGATGTTCCAATACCTTTCTGAATATCTGGTCAGCACAACTGCGCCCTGGTCTAAAATCAGCTTGATTAGGACGCATCTTGCTGTCCAGTATTCCATATGTTGCAGTATGTCCTTTCTTGAAAACTGGGAGCAAAATTGCTTTGCTCCATTCACCTGGTAATATTTCTTTTTCCCATACTAGAGAGTACATTTGTTTAAGATGAGTTATGAAGGATGATAGGCAACATTTGAAGAGTTCAGCTCAAAGACCATCTTCTCCTAGAGTTTTATTGGCCTTAAGCTTATAGATTACAGAGGTTATTTCTTCTTCTACTAGCAGTTGCAAATGTATGGCTCTTTGAAATACCCGATAGTCAGGATCTCCTCATATTCGGCTTTTGGACATTTAGAAATTTTAGAAATTTATATGACAGGTTTATTCCTGTCAAAGGTAGAGAATAGATATAATTAAATTTTAAATTAAATTAAATTAAAATTAAATAATTATATAATCAAAAAATTTTAAATTTAAAGAAAAAGAAATTAAAAGATAATTTAAAAAAACAAAAACTAAGAAAAATTAAGAAAAAAAATTTATCCGATTCTTAAAGGATTACGTAATGGCAATGGTATATGTAATATAATAGATAATAAACAGTACATAATAAATTTAATAAATAAAAAATATGCAATAATAGTAGATAATAAATAATAAATTATAAGATAATAATAGATTCAAGTGATAAAAATAGCTTCTCAAACTTGGGGAATAAACCACTCTATTTAATACAGTAACGAAAAATTGATAATAGAATAGATGGGTTTTATTTTATTAATGATAGTTCTGTTCAGGCAGAATCCAAATTCTGATGCATCCACACGATAATTATACTCGACTAATTTGCTTTCCTTATGGATTATTATATTGGCATATTGGTTAAGATGCAATGCAATCTGAAAGAAAAAAACAAACATATTAATCAAAAGAATATTGAACATGGAAATATAGTAGAAAATGTGAGAAAATACGAAAATATATAAGAAGCCATGAATTCTTAGGAATATGGCCTTTATATTTCTCGAAAGGAGAGCCTATCTAACTAGACAGTTGGTAAATAAGTACAAGCAAATAATCATCACTTTTCTGATAATTCTCATAATTTTCATTTTTTATGACAGATAACAGAAGAGAAAAGGCTCTATATAGTAGCAAGAAGCAATAACCCTTACAGCTAGATCATTTATAATGAAATCGTGAGGAACAACAAATCGCAAATAAACAATAATCGTACACAAATGAATTCTACAGATTCTATGGTTCAAACTGCCAAAAAACGGTAGATATAAGAAACTCAAGGAATAAACTGTTTATCTAATAGGAGAATTGATGAAATTATACATAGATTTTGATTGCCACAAATACACTTTTGCAACAGCTTGGTTGTTATAAAGAGCTCTTCTTCAGTCATTCTGTCGATTAACTGAAGGAAAATAAGGATTTTATATGATAAAAAGTAGAACAACTGTTGATCGGAAATCACTTGATAAAACAGTGTTTGTTTAAAATTTTTGAAAAAAACTTTGTAGCAAAAAAATAAAGGTACAACAGCAAAAACTGGTACTGAAACCTAAAACAAACAAACAATAAAGTTTTAAGATTTAAAAATGACTGCATGGTCTCAGTGGTTCTTATAATGATTGGGAAAATAGTTGTTTAAAAAGTAGCAATAAATTTGAAGAGGACTTTCTAAACTTTTGTACCTATGTTGGTCTAGAGCAACATGTTAAGGTCGCCACTAGGTACAACACTATATTAGATGTTGTATTAACTACCTCTACCTCTCTTGTTGATAGTATTAGAGTCTTGAAAATTAGACCGTTATTCACCTCCATCGAGATTTTCTAGAAGTTACCGTCACTGTAATTATGAAATCTTTAATTTTATCCTCTCAGAAATAAACTGGGATTTCTTATTCTGTTTAACTCCCTCTATCGATGAAAAAGTTAATTTTCTTAATAGCATCATTTTATATCTAATAGAACCAATATATCCCTTTAAGAAAAACGAACATTAGGTCGATTCCCACTTTTCTAAAATCCCTTAAGAAAAGTGTCAAGAAGTAATAATAAATATCAATTAACCAAATTGCCAAATGACTTCTCTGCATATAAAGAAAGCTTAAAAAGTTTCCGTAGCGCCATTCATAATTACTTCTCAAATAAAGAAGAACAACTTTTAAATACTGATAGAAATTCTTTCTGGACATATATCAAAAGAAAATTTGCAAATTCACGTAAACAAT